GTTTTTGGTAAATATTTGTGCATATTAATCACTAATTTGCATAATTAACCAATTTCCAACTTTCACACTGATATCTCAGGTACTAATCATCACATATCAATGAATGTTTATACATGGATGCTGCAGGACAATAGACAGACCTGGATAATTGTGGGTTAAAATCTGTACATATTAATTACCCAATTTGCATAATTAACCAATTTTAAGCTTTCACACTGATATCTAAACTACTAATTTCCATTTTAATGAAACTTAGTACAAAGATGCTCTAGGACAATGTACAAACCTAATTAGTTTGGGATAAAAATCTGTTCATATTAATTCCCTAATTAGCAAAATAATTCATAATTTTTTGGTTCTAATCACATTTCAGTTAAACTTGGTACATAGAGTTTTTGTTACATTGCGCAGACCTCATTAGTTTTACACTCAAATCTGTTCATATTAATTTTCTGATTTGCATAATTATTTTTCAGCTAAGTAATTTCAAATTATATTTAATGTGTCTCCAATACTCTCAGCACATGGGAGTTCTTTCTAAGCTTTCTTTGATTTTTTCTGCAGCTCGGAACCAGGAAAGGTGTAGGAGCACAGAAAGTAAAAATAGATTTTGACGCGATAGAATCACAGGCCCTCAAGGAAGATATGAAACGACATGAAGCAGCAACAAAACCAAAGTCACAAGATGAAATAAATGCAGAGGCGTAAGTCAGATGAATCAATCTCAGTAATAACTCAACTAATGTGTACATGCTAATATGTATGGCATAATAGAATTCAAGTGCTGAGAAACATTCCTAGATATGTGTTGAACAAAGACCCCCTATGTACATGCTGAAGTGCACATGAGTACCCTTAGTTGTGTGTATGAAAAGGCATACATAATGAATTATTGGATGCAGTTGCGCTCAATAGAATCTGCCGCTGATGCACAGATTTTCTGTGATGTAACTAGTTTTTTGTTTACTCACTCATTTCCTTGGGCATCATAGACTGTAAATAATCAAACATTGAAAATGTTACCTTGAAAATATCTTAACATTGATACAGAATTTGTAATTTGTAAAAAGAAAATTTGCATTTTAGAAACAAAAGTTTGAAAATGAAAGCCACTGCATCTTTGTCACCTTCAAAAATTCCCATTAGCCGCTTGATTGTTTTCATGAATCCCCTTCTCCCCAGCAGTCAGAAAGTTCACCCAACATAAATTTTCATTCAGATCTCTGCAAATTAGTCCTGATAAAGGTACACTGGTTGCACTTCGGTTTGTCAAGAAAAGATGACTCTCCATGGATAAATAGGCACCCCAAAGTATCACTGTGCATGGAGAATTACAAGTTGTGAATTTTTATCTAAAATATGTGTTGACTTTTTTACCTGAATATATTTGACAGTGCATCTATGCGGTTAGCATACCAAGATCTTAGTTTACAAAAGAAGAAAGAGGAAGACAAGCTGAAAAGTGCTGATCCAAAGAAAGCACAGCAAATGGAGAGATTAGGAATGGGATTCAGTGGAAGAGGGTACGTCACACTCAGCTTTCTCTGTTTTTGAATTACTATCATTTTACTAAGTTGTTTAGTAGTTGCTCAGTATAGAATACTGTAAGAAAAATATTCACTGGGTTTTTAAGTTCCCATTCAAACTGTAGTTTGTAAAAGGGAACTTGTAGTTTGGGTTCTGTGTGTGTGTATATGTGTGTGTGCATCATCTTATTTCATGTTCAGTGATTGAATCAAATTTGGCAGCTTTTTTAGACCTTAAAAATTCCTTCAAAGCACAATTTATATTTGTGTATCGTCATATCTGAGATATGCTTTGATAGATTTGTTGGTATTATGTCATTATTGTATACATATGCATGTCTTATTTTATGATTCAGTCCAATTTGATTACAGTATTTGGCAGCTGTTTTAGACCCAAAAATGTATAGATTATAGATGTGGAACTATAATTACAAAATATTTTGATGTTGTTAAATTAATCTTAGTTAATAATGATCAATTTTAACAATTTGAACAAAAACTGTCATTTTCAATGACTTGTTTTTAGTGGATTTTTTGTGATTTCACTAGGTTTTAAATTTACTGGTTTGTGAAAGGTACAATACTGTTGCATATCAGTGAAATAAGCAAAAATAAAAACCCAGTGTATCATTGAGTCACATATCATACAGTTATCGTTCACTGTTTGCATTTCTCTTTTCTTAGGGGAGTGTCTCATTCAGCACTCTGCGATATGTCAACAATAGAACAAGTCAACCCCGTGCAATCTGAAAGACTTTCTTACAACAGACGCACTGACATTCTAGAAGAATATGATATTGGATTTACAAGTAGAGGCCCACCAAGGTTAGTACCTCTTCTCTTGTAGTCTTTCATGTTTAAAATTGTTACGGGGAATGATGCGTTTCCAAGAAAACATGTGCAAAATTATCCGAAAACCGGCCATTTTGAAACATTTTAGAGGAATCCTTGTAAACATAGACAATTTACACTAACTTGCACTTTTTATCATTTTTAAATGCTCTTTCAAATGTAAATAAGATTCAAGGAATGCAGATTTGACCTCACGGACCTCCAAATCTTTTTCAGCGCAAGATTTATTATATAATGTAAGGTTGAATTGGTACATCCTGTTAGTGTTGTAAATAACCTTGTCCATTATATTGTGTAGGTATTCTGATACTCCGTTTGACAGATCTGTTGACGACTCTAAAGATGGATGGGACAAGATAGAAACTCCTACAACTTCCTCAGTTTTGAGTATATTAGAAGAAGCAGAAAAAGAAAAAGAACAGAAGTAAGTTATAATAAGTACTTTTAACCATTTGACCATCATATTCTTTTTCCAAAAAAGGCAAGTGCAGTTTGTTAAATCCCACAAGTCATGGTCTCTGTAGACAGCATTATGTTGGTATGACTGAACACCACTCAGTGTTCTCCCCAGGATACAAACATGTGTGACACAGTACTAAATTTAACTGCCACACTGATCAGACACTGTCACAGTAGTTTATTTCCACTGTGCTATTTGCTTGAAAATTGACTATTTTTGTCCCAATCTTCTGAAGGAAAGTGCAGACTATAAACTGAACTATTGAAATTGTGATGCAAAGAGGAAACTGGTGGTGAAATAGTTAAATCAAATTGATAAATTGCTAAAAACTTTTGTTTACCTTTATCATTCAGAGTTTTGCAATCACAGTTTTGTAAGTGAATAATTGTGTGCATTGTTTGTGCGTTTTGAAGAGTACTTGTTTGTTAACCATCACATTCAATCACGTTTCTGTTCAGAATAATTATGCAAATAATATGCAAATGTTATGCAAATTTTTTACTGTGGTTTAAATTTCTGAGGTGAACCCTGCTACCCAATATGTCATGTTTTATCACATTTGGCTTTACAGAACAAGATCAAAGAATAAAGATTATGAACCCTCATCAGCTGCCCCAGGTAGTGACGCTCAGAAGAAGTTTGGAAATGCCAAATCAATATCATCTGATCAGTTCTTTGGAGGTGAATCTTCGGTAAGTTTTATCATGCGATCAGGGTAGCTGCCTGATTGTAGGTGCTCTATACAAAGAAGTTCATATCACGGAAGTCATTTGTATCTTATCAGAAGCCAAATTATGGCCAATTTATAAATTGTGTAGTCCTGATAACTTGTACTTCAAAATAAAGGTAGAGTAGGTCCAATTTTTTTTTTTTTTTTTAAATTTCTACTTCTCCGTATCGGACATAACTACCTAGTGCTATCTTGCTAATAACTCAAATATTTACAGTAAAGTCTTCTTAATTTGGCCAGAAATCCGTTGAATGAAGGGTAGGCAGTAAAAGAAGAGTGGATTATTAGAACATGTATAATTTTTCCTATGTACTGTACATGTTGAGCATTCTTTTTAGATGCCAGCCATTGATCAAGAAGTAAAGAACTTTCATTCATTGTCACCAATGATTTAATTAGCATGTGTGTTATATTTTATTTACCTAACAACTTTGCTCAATTGATAACGCAAATATTTACGTTTTGTTGGTTGTAATTGTGTGAAAGTAAACAAAAGTGCAAAGAATAGCATCGACCCATAGTATGTAAAGTACTTTCAGCTTTGGCTTCTTTGTTTTTTAATCTTTTCAAAAATCTCTGCAAATCACAGTACTTTAAATTAATTAAGAATATTCCATTTTTTGTGTCCTCTGAATTGATCTGATTCATCAGACAAATATTTGTTGTGTTGCAACAAAATTCTAGGGCATATTATTGATGCAGTAATATTGAAAAACATTTGAAAAATTGAAAATTCACATTTCAGAAACAAAATAGAAAACAGCAACCACAGATAGGATACAAATGTGTTTCCACCATATTTGATTTTACAAAGGATTATGGGTTGACAATTAAACTATAGAGGGCGCTTTTGTGGAATCTTGTATCTATTCCATACAGCCATGTGCTTGAAACTACTGGAATCTTGTTTTTCCTGAAGGGGTGCCTCTCATCATCTATCAACAAATTGGCCTAATTTTAATGATTTCATTTTGACTCTAAATCGCTGGGGGGGGGGGCACAGTGGTTCTCTACAATATACTGTAGAATACTTTATTTTCGCTTGAAATTTATTTCCGTTATTTTCGCTGAAGGAATGATTCTGTGAAAATAAAATCCAGCGAATATACTTTTTTTCCTATATTTCACATTAAACTCATCAAAAATCAGTGAAAATAAATTCCATACAAAATGCCCAAAATGCCTTTTCAGCGAAAATTAATTCCAGCGAAAATAAAGTATTCCACAGTAAGTACTAGTATGAATGTGTATATGTGTGTTTTTCATTATTATTGTTTGCTACTCATTTGCATCTTGTACATAGTAAGTATACAGCAGCATCAAAGTAGATCTACCCCTTTCTCTCTCCTCCCTCTTTGCTTGCATCCAAACTCATTGCAGCTTTCTCTTCCTTGGCAGTACGAAACTCGTGCTAACCTATCCCGTTTTGAAGGCAGTGCCAGTATATCTAGTTCTGACTACTTTGGTGATGGTCGTTCTCAAACGCCTAGTTCCTATTCTGCCACTGCTGGTGGATTTAGTGATATCAAAGATGGCATGAAAGAAGGAGTCGTTCAAGTAGCTGGAAAATTATCTAGATTAGCAAATGGTGTCATGACATCGATACAGGTACATTTGTTCATTAACCTAAGGGGCTTTTTTCATTGCTTTAGTTTCAAATGAATCATGCTCATCTCAGAGTTGGTGGGAATTCAGCCCGACTTAAGGATTGATAGATACCACCTATCTTGTTGCATGGTTAGACTTAGACAGGATGTAATTATGGCACTGCATGATATGTTTATAGACAGTAGTCATTGTGAAGTGAGGATTATATGTTTATGTGAACAATGTATTTTTACATGCATTGTATATCGCATATAACCTCGCACATCACAACGATTACCGCCCATTAATCTGTTGTGTTGTCCGTAAACTTTTGTCGTACTATGCTCCATGATTTCTCCAATAGAAGTGCATCTCCTAAGTGTTCAAGGGCCGAACAAACTAGGCGATATCTCCTTGTCTGAATCGTTAAGAAAACCATACACCTTTCCTGTAAGTTGTCCCATCTATCGACGAAGCACTTCAGTGAAGTAAATAGCTAAATGATGGCATTCACAGGGTTGTCATTCATTTGATTTGGTCATTAAAAGTAGTTTTTAAGATTAACTAGTCTCTGAATGACAAACAACCTACCAGAGTTGTCTATTTGAATGATGTTGCTGATACCTATCTGTGTAATTTTGGCATCATAAAAGTGTTTTATCACAAGATGGCGTGACATAAGGACTTCTAGGAAAGATGTATTGTTACACTGTCATATTTATCGTAAAGATAATGTGTTCGTGCGTTATTAGATTTATATGCAAATTAGCAACCTTGCGCATGGCATCAGTGGTCAAAGATGATACATGCCGAATTAGCACTTGCTTATTTTTATGAAACTGATTCATGTGCTTACAATACAAGTATCAAAACAACATTTCAACTACTGTTCGTGATCCATTATTATGTAAATACAGGGGCTTTCTATGATTAAATAAGTAATAATTTAATGTGATGTTTATATGCACTTCTATTGGAGATGCACTTCTAATAGTACAAATACTGTACAACAGCTGAGATTGAGTGACTGCAATTACCGTGGGTCGGTGATCATGGTTCTGATCTATCTGATTGATACACGTTTTGCATTGACCTCAAAATGTCTGTTTGGAATTGTAAGTGAAAGTGTTTACGGATAACAACAACTGGTGTCTTCTGTATCGCTTGTTGAAGTGCTCAGAGTTTTGATGTATTCATCCATGTTGAATTCGTTGTCCTGATGCTTACAGGGGATGTGATCACTTGCTCGAAAATTAACTCGTTTTGGCAGTTCACTGCAGTTCAGTTCAGTTTCTTATATTACTTTTCACTGGATTTAAGTTTTGCTGAAAATCATAATTGACCATAAATGACCATGATCGATTCAAGAACAGAAGTCACAAGACACGTTTCTTTTCCTAGAAAAGTGAAAAATTGCAACTGTCATCACATTCACTGTTCCCCTGACCTATGTAACCATCTAGTGGATGCAACAACTAAGAAAATGTTTCACTATTTGAGAGCTGAAAGCAAATCTTGTGCTTCTGTCGCTTTCAATAAAATTAACAAGGTTTATTAAGGCTGACATAACAATTTTTACCCATTTATGTTAATTCACACGCAAAGCATGGAAAAAAGTATTTTGACTGTTTTGAACATCTTTGGAGTGAATAATAAAGTATTCTGTATCAAGCTCCAGTGACTGTACATTTTACAAAAAAAGTTTCCTGAAAATCACTGTGGTCTTGAATTTGTTACTTGTGTGACTGTACCATAAATAGCACAATTTGAATTACAATTGTTTTTCACCAATAAACTTATTACAGCTTTTATCCTTATTCACCTGAAAAAAGTAAATGACTATGTTTTGATGTCATCCTAAAGACCCTCTATTATGAATACTGCCCTCTAGTGTCAGTGTACTAATACAAACTATTGGATGAATACTCAGAATCTGAATACTGTTGCACGTTGAATGAAAAAAGCACCATGAATAGTTTATTATTAACTTATAACCAACTTTTTTAAGATGAAAGTAATCTAGGTGGCGGTATAGCCTGTCAAGCAGCTTCTTTTTGCTCTTGTCCACTCTGGATCTTTTCATGGTCAAGGTGTTATGCAAGTACTTGTGCGGAATTCTTCAATCATTTGAGCAACTAAGTAAACTTTTCCCCTCAAAAATTGTTATCAAGAACTGTAGCCAAAATAATATTTTCCAATTTTGTCTAAAATTATAATAAAAATTGCCGAAAAATAGATGAAAAACGTAAATATTTCACCAACATTGGCATCAAAAGGTTTAACTTTTCGTTTGGATGCCTTTTATGTATTAAAGCACATGTACCTCTAAAATGAATAAATTAGTGTACTGTGCCAGAGAAACATGAAAACTATCTGCAAATTACATTCAGTGTCAAGTTAAAATTGTACATGTAATACATTGTATAAACTGTTGAATTTCGGATGTTACAAATTGTTGTGATGCAATTAAAACAGAGCGAGAGAACGCAGTTTCATAAAATCAAAATAATTTTTTTAGGACCCCTGTGAAATACTCGTTACTTGAAAATTTCCTGATTCTCCCAGACTCATAAAATTCCCTCTGCAATTGCAGTATTTAAATTATATTGACGATATTCCAGTGTACTTGCGTTAATATCCTTGATTTTTTCCCCCTTCTATCTTCATAATATAGGACAGAGGTTGATGAGAAAGGGTCTGCAACATTCATACCTCATAGGGTGGCAAACACTAAACAACACAAATTGGCTTTAGTCTTGTCTTCAAAGCTATTTCTAAAATCGTATTGTACAATATTCATAATCTGTTTCTTTAAAAGATTGAAAATGGATTGATTTCTACAGTTGCAGACCCAAGAAACTCTCGTTATTAACCCCATTGAGTGCCAAAGTTAACTTTACGCACCATCCACAAAATTCCATTTATAGTCTGATCTTTTCCATATGAAATGTTTGTTAAAAAAATAGAAGCAATGTCACATTTTGTCTGTTTGGTTCAAAACTAAGATTAAATTCAGTGGATATTACAGAAAAAATGAAAACAAATTTACCCAAATTTAGGCAAAAAAAAAAAAAAATTGGCACACAAAAGGTTAACCTCTACATCAGCGCATATAATATCTTTATCTGCTAAGTTAATAACATTCCGTAAATTTGCTTTTATAGGATCGCTATGGTAATAGTTAGATGGATAAACACTGTAGCAATCTTGGTAGTGCCCTGAAGAGTGAATGCGTATTGGTCATACTGTGTACAAAGAATTTACGTAACTTATTATTTATCTATTGAAAAAAAAATATTGATTACACATGTAGAATTCTTTTAAAACTTGTTACTATTTATCTTGTGCAATTGTTTACAGGATTATGGCTCATAGTGACTGATCATTCCTTTGAAGACTGCCCTCACAGTAATAGGTGGATTCTTTTGTTTTTATGTAAATCAGGATGTTCAAAGAAATCAGGCTGAAGTTTGCAGTACGATTAATGTACAGGGAGGGAGGGGGTTGTGCTGAGTTTGCTTACAAAGTGGCCTTATTTGATGTTGGTGAATTTTTGCAACTTTAAACAAATCTTCCATGTGATGTTTAAATTGATTTTTTTTGTTTTTTCCTTCCTTATATACTTGTTTGCTAATTATCTAACTGTTATGCATTATATCTATTTGCAACATACACTTGAGTTGGGGAGTCAATGCTGAAAAAAACATTTTTTTT